TACCATTATTTTGAAGACTTTGTATCGTGAATTTCAATTTCTGACTTGGATTAAAATAAATTGAAACAAAGCTTTCACATCTTGTTATTATTGATGCAAGGCAACAATCTTCTGACGAGGTTTCAGTTGATTTCGTTGAGTTGATATACCTTTCTCCTATTTGTTTGGTGGTTTACATAAAAACCACCGATAAAGAGCCTGGGATCCCTGTGGTTAACGACGGAACACTATCGAGCACAGTTTTCATCAAAAGCAAGCCGGATTCCATTGATTTATATTTGAGAACTGCGGTAGGCTCCTTTGTAGAAGCATAGTTAATAATATTAACTATGCCATACTGGGTAGATGTTATTAGTATCGGTCATACAGATTCACTCTAGAGAACGTATGACTCATACGAATAACATCTGCAAAGGGGGCTAGAACTAATAATAATATAATAATATTAATTTCTATAGAATCTTTCCTAAAAGCTGAAAGTGCTTTACACTAAAAGAAAATTTACTCAAATGCTTCTTTTAAAAAAAGAAATTGTTTTAAGTTGAAGACTGATCCCCTGATAAACATCCACAAAGCCGCACAACATCACATCATGTTAGTTCACTTTTCAAAGAATAAATGAGTTCATTTGTGTTGTATGGCTGACTTATAACTGTCTTCCTGAGACGGCTTTACGAGCTGCATTTATGAAAGGATTGTTGTATTCGTAGCATTCATGAGAACTGTCTTCGAGAGCTGTGAAATTGTTATGGAATGAAAGCCCGTATGGAGAGCAAACAATAATTAGCTCTGAGCCCTAACTCGTTTTGATGCTTGGGGTGCTCGGATTAGCATTGTGGGAAGCATCCACGGAAAAGGCATCCTCCTCAGGCAACTCTATATAAACTCATTTTCTTTTTATTTAAAAGGCGGTTGGGCTTCCTTTGGTGAGACGCGGGGAGATTGAGGRTGAGAGAGAAAGAGGAGGACTTCTTTTGTTCTTCCCTTAATTGTAACAAGACAAAACATTCCATTGTTTACACTTTCACACTGGGGAATTGACTATTATCAAAATGCCAGTGCAGGCGCGAATAGCCTCGGTCCTTGGATAGAAAACAATAAAATAAACAATCAATTTATGCATAATTTTTAGGATATTCCCGTCTGTACTGGAATTTTAAAGAGCCACAGGGACGACGGAATGACTGCATATCACTGATACATGGAAAAATCTCAACTATATCAAATCAAGGGAATATACAAATATGTGTAAATTTCCAGTGTTTATGCAATCACGATAAACATGCCGTGACGTCATTATGTAATAAGGCAGTTTACTTAAAGTATGTCTATTCGATGTATTGTTAGAATATATAGGCTTACTTGAGACCTAGGGG